AACAAGTGTTTTTCTAGTTTTTTTTTTTTATTTTCAAAATGTTTTCATTTCTCTTGGGAATATAATTAGGAGTGGGGTTGCTGAGTAATATAGTAACTCTATATTTAACATTTTAAGGAGCTGCCAAACTGTTTTTCAAAGTGACTAAACCATTTTACATTTCCACCAGCAATATATGAAAGGTCCAGCTTCTCCACATCTCTGCCAACACTTGTTATTGTCTACTGAGAAAGGTTTTAAGAACAGAAAAGCCAACTATCAATTTTTGAGTTTTGTTGCTGCTCTGTGATATAACTTCCTTTGATCTTTCCGACCTTCAGAAGATCTTCCATATCATAATTGGTATGGGAATGGGCTTAGAGAAAGGGGTGGGTGTAAGACCCCTCTTCTGCAGGGGCCTGGTTCTGGGAGAAGAACATGGGCCCACAAGTGAGACTTGGGTCAGGAGCAGGCCCTCGGGGAACAGGACTGCAGGGAAGAATGCTCAGAAGGCGATGGAGAACTGGGACGCTGTTTCAGTTGCTGTCTGAGTGGCAGCTTTAAGACGTGGGAAATACACTTGGAAGAGTGGCTGGCACACCCTAGCTGCCCAGTAATTGATTTTTTCCCCTTGGTTTTCTTTTACAAATTTTTATAATAATACTCTACTTGTAAAAAATAATCACACTTGCAATTACCCTCAAAACAAAGACTGATTTCCTGGCAAAGTTAAATGACATACACCTTTTTAAAAAATAAAATAGCTTTAAATTAATTTTGCTGTGATACACTTTTGTAAATTTTGTGATATTGTTGGCATAATTGTTTATTCCAGAAGGTAGCAAAACCAAGATTAAGAGTAGCTGTTTTGTCCCGGCCATGGTGGCTCAGTGATTGAGCGTCATCAACCTCTGAATCAGGAGTCATGGTTCGATTCCTGGTCAGGGCACATTCCTGGGGTTGCAGGCTTGATCCCCAGTAGAGGGCATGCAGGAGGCAGCCAATAAATGATTCTCTCTAATCATAGATGTTTCTATGTTTCTCTGCCTCTCCCTTCCTTTCTGAAATCAATAAAAATATTTTTAAAGTAGCTATTTTGTGCAATATTCAGGCATAATCGCCTTCAATCCTGTTCACCTCATACTCTCTGGTTACCTGTTTTGTTCTCAAAAGATAAGGAAGGAAATAAGAGAAAGAATAAAGCCCTGTAAGAGTAGGAGTTAGTGTTTTCCACACACCATAATGCTTCACCAAACATGTGTATCTGTGCCTGTACAAATGTGCATTCTCTAAGCACCGTGTGGACACCATTACTGAAACTCCTGATAACCCCCACAGCGTTCCCCGCCCCTGTGGGACTGGACACACAACAAACACGCTTGATTGACTCTCCCAGCTTCTGCTCACTCTGTTGTTAGATCCCTCAGTCACTGTTCAGCTTCTTTCCTAAAATATGTATTTTTTCATAAGTCAGACATGGAACATTTATTTTCTTTAGAAATGGGCTCTTTTACAGACAGAATATTGTAGATCAATTACTTCATTTAAAAAGATTTGTCTTTCCAGAAGTTGAAGAACAACAGAAACAAAAAAAGAACTTATAATCTTATTGATTAAAAATTTTAACTGAGGTAAATTTTTTATAGCAATGAAACTCAATGCCTTTGAAGTAGGAACTAGATGGTTTTCCACGAAGACACAAAGCTTTTAATTAATATTCATAGCAATTGGTAGGTATAATTTTGGCCACTGGAGGACTACTACAGTTTCCTATTGATGCAATAGGAATATATTGAGGACAACGAAAGAAAAAGTAATTAACAACTGAATGTGGGGGCCATAAAGTTCAACTATTCCCTAGTTTATAGTAAGCACTGCATGCATACAGAATGGTCTCTGAAACTAAGACAATGCTGGATTTTATATTTCTTCTTCTCTAAGTTGTGTATTTAATGCTTTTCTTGAACACAGGTGACTTTGGGTATAATAAGGATAATTAAATGCTGAACACATCAAGCTCGAGTGCTGAGAGGAATTTAGGAATGATGGCAGCACATATAATAACAGATAAAAGAAAAAGTTGTTCTATATAAATTTTCTACATCTGAAATGTGTTATTTAAAAGCAGAAATTTGGAGCATTTTAGTGTTTGAAATAGTCACATGGAAATCTGTGTTCTGATCCTCCTTCTATCATTGACTAACCTGGTGAAAATCAATAAGCCATTTATGTGTTTATAGACCAGCAAATTAATACTCATTCAATTCAATTTCGTTCAGTTCAATGTAGCTATAGGGCATCTAGTTTAAGGTTCTTTGTTTCTGCTGGTACCAAAAGATAATCCTTTTCCTCAAGAAGCTCAAGAAGAAACCTGTGTATGCGGTTGTGGAAAGCCTTGGTCTACAGTGCCAACAGCGTCTTTTCTTCCTCTGTTTCTCATCATTTTAATATGCTTTTCAGAATATTGTTTTGGACAACAACAAGGCTGATAGATAAAATAGAACTCGTGGCATATGTAGTCCTAACTTTTCTGTCCCTACGATTTGCTAATTGCATTATAAAACAAGTGATAAGGCATGATTTTGCTAGGCACTAGATGCCACAGCAGAGGCTGGCTGTACAGAGATGTTGATACACAGATTCCAACGTGCTTAGGATCAAACTGCTGCATTTGAAGCATAATGTCTAAGAGAACTTACAAGCATGGGATCTTGTGTTCTGCGATGTGATTTTTAAAAATGATCCTAATCTTTCTGTCTAAAATATGACCTTTCATATTTTACTGAACTCCATCTCCACTCCTGGGGTGAGCAGTGATACAGGCTTTGAGTGGGAAAGGGAAGGAAGAGGAGATGTGATTTTGCAAGAAGTCTGTGTATTTTAATCCTGAAAACTTTGTATGTTTGTTGAGGATGGGGTGACGTAGAAGAAGCAAAAAGCATCCCAAAGACTGACATCTCCCCTCTGCATCAGCAGTATGTTCTACTAATCCTATATAATAAAGATGTAATATGCAAATGGTCGTTACATAATGACCGACCACGTAATGACCGGATCACAGATCAGCAGGAGGGCGGGGCAGCGGGCGGAGAGCTACAGGAGGGCCGCAGAGAGCTACTGGTGCACAGATTCATGCACAGGGCTACTAGTTATAGTATATTTAAGTTATGTAACTTCTCTAAAATGCTGTTCATTCTGAAAGAGCTAAAGCCAGTTATTCAAATAATGATGAGAGAGAATTATCCATTGGCTGCCTCCTGCACACCCCCTACTGGGGCTTGACCCCACAACCCAGGTTTGTGCCCTGACCAGGAATTAAAATGTGACCTCCTGGTTCATGGGTCATGCTCAACCACTGAGCCACACTGGCCAGGAAGTCCAAGGTATTTTATTATGGCAGCCCGAGTAAACTAACAGGGTAGGGAACCAAGCAAGTTGGAGGAGGGTAGAGTTGGCCTTCTTTGCAGTTTGTCTAAGGTCCATATAGCAGGTGGCAGGTGGCATGTGACCCCTGGGGGATGGTGGAGGTCTGAACACCGAGGCTGCCAGACTAATTTAGAAGGCTGCGGATCTCACTGTGGCCCCCTCAGGCCAGGCGAGTCTGGCTGTGCTCCGGGAAAGCCTTGTTTCTCCCTGCCCTGTACCTGCTTTTCGCCTCTTAGAAGGAAGTGAGGAGACACCACAATACAGTGGAGGAAGGAGGAAGCGGCTATTTTCTAGAGTTTTCCCAGGGGGAAGGCAATAGAGGGATGCATTGCCTTTAGAGAATTTAAAATCAATAATAAAACTGACTATGAGTTGGTGTGCTTCTAATTGTCACCACGGTCCAGCCACTTTAAGCTATGCCAGTGGTAAAATATTCCCCTCTGAAATAACATATTTTGTTGGTCTAAAGTGCTAAACAATTGCTGTGGGTATTGTTGAGTTTTATGAATATATATATCTAAGCTTCCAATTGAACATGTTTTTATTACCTCTCCTTTAATAAAAATTGCATTCTCCTTGGAAGTTAATTAGAAGAAGTACCAGTTATATAGAAGGCCCCAACTCTGGCCGAGTCAGCTGCAGGCGCGGGTTTAGCGAGTAAGTTCATCAGGGTTCGGAATCGCTCGGGCTCCCTTGGAGCCTAGTTTCTGTCTCCACGCTCAGTGGTGCTTCGTGTTCCTGCTTTAAACAGCAGGTTAGAAATGAACAAAGGAAGGGAACTTGAGGAACTTCCATTCCATCATTCTGTGTGAACACTTGGAGTTTTTGTTTGTATTTAGTAGTTTAAAAAATGAAACTGAGTATGAACGGTGAGGTGTAATCTTTTTGTTTTGTAAGCACACCTTTTTATTCATGCATGAAATATTTTACTGGATTTGAATACTGTCATGAAAAGTAAAATTAAGGTTTTTTTTCTTCATCTTAAATTGATAATCTTTTAGAACTACAGCAAGGAAATAACATTTATTCCTCAAGGAAATGATGGTTATTCCAGAAAATAAAGTTGTATGAAAGAGAGGATCATTAAAAAATGACCTGCTCCAATGTTAAGTGCCCCAGCTTCACCACTGGGTGCCCCCTTGTGTCTATTCCTCTCTGTTATCTCTGAGGGGAATAGCGCCTTGATATGGTTCCTGTGTTTGAGGTGTAATTTAGACCTCATGCCCTGGAAGCTTAAGGTTGGCCAACTAGGAACATAAATCATACGCTCTCACATTCGCATTATATAGACATTCAAGCTTAAGGTGTGCCAAGGCCCAAATTAATGTGAGATCAATTCACATTCACTTCTTCCTGATTCATTCAACCAACTGTCCTTGAGGGCTGACTGTGTGTCTGGCACTTTGCTTGATGCTGAGGAGACAGAGATGATTAAGTCTAATCCCTGCTCTTGGGAACTCCTAGTAGAGGGTAGGGGAGACAGATGATCAAGCCTATAATTGCAACACAGGGTATAAACATAGGGAGGACAGAGTAATGAGCAAATGATTAGCCCTGTTGGGTTGAGACTGGATGAAAGTTTTTAAGCTGTTTTGTTTTTTGTTTTTCCTTTTTTTTAGGAGTGGGTCTTTGCCAGCAAAGACAACGCAGAAGGTTGCAGAGAAGGGAAGGTGTGTGAGATAGGGAGGCACAGAATGCCTGGAGAGTTTGGGAGAGGGTGAGTGGGTCCCTGTTGGGTGGGCACAGTGGGTGGGGGGTGGGGAGGTTCAGGAGAAGAGGCTGGAGGGGTTGTAGGGACTGGGTTTTATTCTGAAGTCTGTGTGGGGACATCAAAGGACTTGTTGAAAAAGGATGACTTGGTCAGACCCACATTTTGGGAATAGTGCTCAGGTAGCAATGAATCAGAGAAGGGGAGGCCAGAGGAGAGGGGGAAAGTTAGTAGGCAAGTTCTCTGCCTGCAAACAAGGCAGGGCAGGCTGCTGGCACCCGGGCCACCTGAAGGAGTCTCAGTGGCTGGGCCCTGGAATGCATCCAGGCCTGCCCCTCAGACACCCTTCCCATAGCGATAACTGTCAAGTGAGCGCTTCCCGCACATGTGCTTCTGCCCTGACTGGGCCGACTCAGCCCAAAAAATTTTAAGCTGCATGTGCCATTTCATGTAAATTTTATTATATTCTCCATCTAAGTTTAATCTGGTTTAGTTAATAAAATCAAAAGTGGGGAATATATCTTCTTCTATTAGTCTATATCTGCTCTGGTTTCTTTTTTGTTTAAAAAGTTATTTAACTTTTCAAAGTAATTCAGGTAAGTGGTTTATTAATATTTCAAGGGTTTTCCTGTGACTATAGGCATTTCCAGCCCTGTTGGGCAACCACTTTCAATATTTTGAGCTATTTTCCTGGTATTTACTGCCATATTTTCCAAATCATCAATGAGTGCAGAGGCAGGGCTTGTCTTCCTGGTACAAGTCAGGGGGTCAGGAATTTTTGTAGTGTAGCAGAAGGAGGGATAGCTCACAGTTCAATATTTAGACCTATGCTGAACTCTCTTGATTTCTGTCCACGTGTCCTCCTTATACGATGCCTGTTCCCAGGAAACAGGAGCTTCTCTGTACTTATAGGAAAGGACTGCAGGTGGTCTAATAGCTCCTGCTCTTCAGACTTCTAACCAACACCATTAGTCAAGTCCCCGCCCCACTCACCCCTCCGGAGATAAGCTGATGCCTGCAGTTCTTGAGCCTTCCCTCCTTTGGGTAGAATTGATTGTGTCTCTAGGCACTTGGCACTCAGTGTTCTCACTCTGGTTCCTTGATGAGCTTTACATCTTCTAAACATTTGTTGCTAGTTCTCGTCCCCTGCTGTTTCTTTGTCTTTGTATTTTGCGGATTTGTATCTGTTAAACATTTATTATTCTTAGTTTAGTGTGACTTTAGGGAGTAACAGGAAATGCATGTGATATTTCATCAGGATAAACTGGAAATCACCAAAAAGCAAACCTCATATCAATAACAACCACCATGACAATCAATTATTGTTTTAAGCCTTTCAGGTAGCTCATTTCTTTTGATACTTAGAAATTTTGATGAGGATAGAACAGGAAGGGGTATTTCATGGACTCCCACAACTGGTCCAGTTTCATGGAATGAGTTGGTAGAAGAATTAGGACTGAAAGCAAGGCTCTTCCCATTAGCCTGGGAGGTTTTCTGGAGGTTAATATTTAGAATAAAACACATTTCTTTTAGACATAAAACTACCGATAATTTTAACAAGAAATAGGTCAGTTTTTCCCTCTATGACTATTATAACTTCGCATCATTGCATATTTCTAAAGCTAAGCATCTTTTTAGCATTTGTAATGTACTACTTGCTGAATAGATCCTAAAAGCACAAAATCTCCCCCTGGGCTTATGATCTAATGAGACATATAAGACCATAAAGGCAGAAAATGAATAAGGGGGAGTTGGTAAGTCTCCTCCGGTAGATGCACTTGGCATCTGGCTTCATGTTCAGAGCATTTTTCTTTGTTGAATCTTCTGGTCCTCCCCACAGCCACTTATGGGAGAGACATTTAAGGGGAAGAGGAAGACTTCTGAGTAGAAATTCAAAGGAGGGAAAAAAAGAAATCACTGTACAGTTGGATATAGAGCAGGAGTTTAGGCTTAGACTGTATAAAAACAAACATAAACCCTCCTTGGTTTGCACATGGCTAAATATCCCACCTGAAAATGAAAGCTCAGTTAACACAGAACAAGTATTCCCCAATGTTTTATGAATGTTTGCTCCCCAGCGTTTCCTCTCTATTTACCTCAAGAGGGTTATTCTGAAAACATCTCTTATAGAGCATAGAAACATTTTCACACAAAGGTAGTAAAACAGTAGGAAGCTGGTTGCCACTTTGAGAGACTCACGAGATAGTCACACTCATTTTGCACCTGTGTTTCTCAGTCCCTAATTAGATGTGCACTTGAATATAAGGGCAAAAAATGACCAAAATGAATGTAGGTTTCAAAGCCATTTCAGACAGTTTTTGAGTTTTATCAAGGTGTAAGGGATGGGGGTGGGGATTGGGGTTTAAACAAAGGAACAATGGGTAGAAGGGATAGATTTCATCACACTAAGTATTCCAAACCATGAATGTGCAAATTGTAATGGTTTTCTTGTACCATCAAGTGCCTGGTTATATAACGGCTGTTCCAAAAACTCCCCCCTGCCTTTACTTCACAGCTCTAATCACTATGCTATATTTTTCTTGGGACACTGCCTATAATGTCAGCTCATTCTAGTCTAGTTCCTTTTTTGGGGTCCCTGCCTAGTCATCATAATTCTCCCTCTAAAGCAGTTAATGAGGACACAGTGGGACAGAGTTGAGAGAGTATGAGTTCTGGATTCAGACAATTTGACTTTGCTGCCTGGCAGTTCCACGCAGCTCTATGATCTCAGGCTATTTACTTTCCCAAAACTCAGTTTCTTTATATGCAAAATGGATATACAATATATTTCTGCCCTGCACAGGTTTCATTAGAAGAGTACATAAATGATATAATGAATGCATAATGCTAAACCAATGCCTGGCACATAGTAGATACCCAATAAAAGGGAACTAGCATTGTTAATATTAAACATTTAGTTTCAAAGAGCCAACTTTATGAACAAAATTCTATTTTGCTCCACTTTACCTCAAGTTAAAAATAAAACTGAAAAACATGCTTAAACATTTTAATTGAAATATTTTTATGTAAAGCATGAAAATTAAAGCCAATAAAATAGAAAATAATACTAATAATCAGCTATTAACCTAATGCTGATATGAATTATCAATTAAACTCATCACAATAAACACTTAGCTAACAACTAGTATATACCAAATATTTTTTATGCAGAAAATGCAAACATGATAATTTAGTCTCTGGTTTCAAAAATGTACAATCTTGAGGGCTGTAAAGCTTTATACATAACTATGCTACACAGCATGGTAAGTTGAATATTGGAAACAGGATACCATTGGAACACAATGCAGCAGAGTGGCTAATTCTAACTCATGGCATGAGTGAAGCTGCATACGGTGGTGGTTTGGATGAGTAGGGTTTGGATTTAATCAGACATGGAGGGGAAGGAAGTTCCAGATCTAGGAAGAAACGCAGCAAAGGATGGGTGGTGGACACACATGTTCAAAGTAGAGGTCTGGTCTGGTTACAATGAAGGTTCATGGAGCGAGATGAATAGGGATGAGTGGGTTGGAAAAAGATGTTGGGAGTCAAATTCTTAAGGCTTTACAGACCTTGTAAGAAGTTCCTACTTTAGTTAGAATGTAATGGGAAGCCTGACAATGACATGATCCAGTTAAGAGTTTAGAAGAGACAGCCTTGAGGAAGACTGGCAGAGTGATGAAACAGCCGAGACGCTCGATCAATCCCCAAGCTCCCAGGGCTGACCTGTTAACATCTGAGAAGTCCCAAGAGTGGGCAGGTGTGAGGACAGCAGTAGGGAACAGTGAGGCCTGAACATCATTTCAGGAGTTGGATGACTAATTGGGTCTAGGGCAAAGGGTTGCTGGTATTCAAAAAATCCTTATTGTTTTCTTTTTTAAAAAAAGTAGTGCACCCTTGATGTAAAAATTCAAATACCGTAAAGTATAATAGGAAGATTAAAGTCCCTCAGAGACACCCTCTGTGTTTTGGGGAATGTTTCGAAGGAGAATTCTGGAGAAGGTAATCTGGATTATGCACCTGTACATTGTGTGAGGATTGCTGTAAGATACATCTCTAGGAATAGAACTGTTTGACTAAAGGTCACTTCCATTTTGTAAAGAAACTGGGCGAGAACAAAGGGGAGGAGAGGCTGCCACAGAGGTAGAGGCTGGGAGAAGTGGATTGAGTGGTGGCACTTTATCCTTGTGAACCAGGAAGGCCTAGGTCTGTGATATGGAGGACAGGGTTAGTGAGGAAAGGAAGAGGGTCACTCTGTCCTTTTAAAGCCAATGAGAAGGAGGGACTGATGGATGAAGGAAGGAAGTGTTTGAAGAGGATGGTTTGCAAGGTGAGTGGTTTTGATATTATCAATTATTTCAGTGAAATAATGGTCAAATACCTGGCTAAGGATTGGCAGAGTGATAAATGTGAGGAAAAAAAGGAAAAAGGCTGGAAAAACACATTTTGAAGGATAGAAAAGAGAGTCATTTGGGAGGGAAGTATATTTTTATTTTTGAAAAATATTTATTATTGAAAATATTACATATGTCGCCCTTTCCCCCATTGACCCATTCTAGCCCACTTCCTCCCCACCCCCTAGGCCTTCACTACACTATTGTCTGTATCCAGGGTTATGTGTATATGCATACAAATTCTTTGGTGATTTCTTCCCACCCACCCACCCCCGCCTTCCCTCTGGGATTCCACAGTCTGTTCCATGCTTCTATGTCTTGGATCTATTTTGTTCAGTTTATTTTATTCACTAGATTCCACATATGAGTGAGATCATGTGATACTTGTCCTTCTCTGATTGGCTTATTTCACTCAGCATAATACTCTCCAGATCGGGAGGGAAGTATTTTTTAAGCAACAGCTAGTTGGGGCCCAATTGAGGTTGTAAGGCATGAATTTGTAGATCATCCAATATGCATGTAAAATTGAATGGAAACGGGCTATCATTCTCAATCTTATTCCATAAAAACCTTGAAAAGTAATCCAGGCTTAAGCTTAAGTTCTTTTGAGAAGGCAGAAAAGAAGAAATTATGTCATACCACATACAGCAAAACTTATTAAAGTAATTTGTTGTTTTTCCTGCTTGATATCACGTATTATGGCAGCTGCTACTCCACGTCTCTCTCTTATAAAACACCATCCAGCTTAGCTTTGCCCTTGTCCTCACCTGCTGTCTCTCTTCCCCACTGCTCCCTTGAGCCTCTTAGATTTTTTTATTTTACTTTTGAGGATAATTCCATGCCTATTTTATTTATATAATTCAGTTTTATCTTTCTGGACTTTATCCAGTTCCCTTCTCTACTCATTACCGTGATCATTTCAACAAATGCCAGGGCTTGAGCGTCACAAGGAGAGACTACTCTTGAGAAGACAGGATGGAGAGAAAGATTGCAGACACTTGATCTTTAATATTCTGCCTGTCACACAACTATTCTCAGCAATGTGGAGTGGCAGCAGAGAAAACTGGTGTTTGAGTTGACCCAATGGGACATGCTTAAGCAACTCAAGCATTAAACATGTCATTACTGAAGATAGATTACAACTTAGAGAGTCATGTGTGGGCAATATATTTGTTAATATGTGAGTTATAGTTGCTGTATATGAACAGGCCAAAGGTATAGCATATATATATAAATTACTTTGATGTGACATTATTCTGAAATATATTACCTTCTTTGGCACTTTTCTAGGCATATTGCAGGTATTTCTAATATTTTTTATTCTTGAAATTTTACTTTGTTCTCTCTCTCTCTCTCTCTCTCTCTCTCTCTCTCTCTCTCTCTCTCTCGTTAATCTTCATCCGAGGATATTTTCCTATTGGTTTTTTTCGAGAGTGTGGAAAGGAGAGGGAGAGACACAGAGAGAAACATCGATATGAGAGAGACACATTGATTGGTTGCCTCTTGCACGCATCCTGACCAGGGCTGAGGATCAAGCCTGCAACCGAGGTATGTGCCCTTGACTGGAATTGAACCCAAGACTCTTCAGTCTGCGGGCCTATGCTCTAACCACTGACCTAAACCAGCTAGGGATATTTGTTCTCTTGCTTTGACTGATGCTCCTTGTTCCCTTTGATCTTTGGGATATTGCCCTTGACCATCCCTGTCCCTGAATTGATCTTTCTCCAGATCTTTGCCTAACTGGATAATTCTCATCCTTTAGATTCTAATTCAAAATATCACTCTCTCAGGGGGCCTTCTCTGACCAGCTTATTTAAAAGAGTGCCATTCTTATCCCCAATCTGTTTTGGTTGGTGATTCTTTACTTACTATTGCATATCTTTTCTTTAGAATATCATCTCCATGAAGAAAGAGGTCCTTTCTGTCTCACCACTGTAAACCCTATACAGTCTAGCCCTGTGTGATGAACAAATATATTACTGTTTCACTTTGGACATGATTTCTATTTGATGGATTCTTTATGGATGCTGAGGTTGTTTGTGTGACAATTACTAGTATGATTTTCTTAAGGTGAGTTTTGCTACTTTCTACATTAATATGTACACATACTCATGCTCCTTTCATTCTCCTTCTTAATTAAAAGCCAGTGGATAGATTTATAGTTAATGATAACTTACAATAATATTTGAGATTACTTTTATATTACTGCTATTAAATTTTTTTTTCTAAATTTTATGATCGTGTGACAGCATTCTCTAATACGGCAGAAAGCCCAGACATGATATCAACCAGGTAATTGTTCTGCAAGAGAAAGGTGACTCCAAAAGGAAGACGGTTCATGCAGGAGGGAGCTCTAGAGATGAAATTAGGAATGTGCATTATGGAAGGCATGGGTGCACAGCAGTTCTGCAAGAGCAGACAGGTGGAGAAGAGAAAAACATAAGAACAAATCACAGAAAAAACCCCAAGGTTTATTATTTTTAATTATAGTTGACATAGAATATTATATTAGTTTCAGATGTGCAACAGTGATTCCACATTTATATACATTGCAAAGTGATCACCACAGTAAGTCTAGTACCCACCTGACATCATGCAGTTATTAAGATGCTATTGACTGCACTCCCTATGCTGTACTTCACGTCCCCAGGACTATTTTTTAACTTTTAGAGTTATGATAATAATAATATAAATAATCAAGAATTCTGCTTGTTATAGATGGTGTGATGCAAACAGATGGAAGGGGGAAGGCAGAGACCACTCAACTTCTATTCTGATTTTGCTTTCTCTCTCAGGAGAATGGTGCTGAGACTGAGCAAACTAGAGCAAAAATACTTAATAGGTAGTTGAAATGAAGTAGATAAAAAATAATTTAGTAGTCTCTGACTATTAAAATATAAAACCTACAGTTTTTGATGAATGATTTTTATCCCAGGCCATTAAGAGACCAAGCACATGCAATAAGGGATTTGGGGGGTTGGCAATTACTTTAAAATTATGGAGAAATAAAGAGGTTCCAAAAGATCAATCATGGGAAAATAGTGTCTATATGACCAAAATGGGAAAACCTGTTGGACATGTGGATGGTCAACATAGTTCTAGAAATATGCCATAAATATAGATAGGGAAAATCAAGGCTAGTTGATATCCATTCCCAAAGAATTTTGTCTAATGAGACTCATTCACCTGGAAAATAGTATTTAGAAACTTTCTAACAGAGCTTTGTTTTCAGTATGTCTTATACATTTTTTAAAAAAATCCATGACTTGTATGAAGACACAGAAGCTTATCAAATTTGTGGATGACAGAGCTCGGGAGAGAGATAAAATATAATGGAAGAGAGTCATCATTCAAAATAATTTCATCAGGTTGTAAAGATAGGTAGAACTCATCAAGATTATTTTTCAGGTAGATAAAAGTAACCCACTACTTTACGGGTTAAAAAAAAGTTATGCAAGTATTTTTGTGCAAACACACAATAAAAATGCCTGCTATTCAGTCCACCCTAACAAAATGCAACAGAAGTTTGCATTTTATGGGAGATTGTAATGCAGATCAGCGTTGGCAGGAATGGCTATTGAAATCAGATCATTTCTGGAATATTGTGTTCACTTTAAGTCAGGTGAATTATGTCCCGGGTGGAATAGTTGGAAGAACTCTGGACATTTAGCCAAGAAAACAGAAGCCTTGGGAGAACTTGAAGGCTCTTTCAAATGCATGAAAGGCTGTCACATGAAAGACAGAGTAGTAGGTATGACTCCACTGGATAATGGCTTATGCCTACTAAAATAGCATTTCAGTTTCCCAGGAAAGACTCATAATGACTTATGACTCTCTGGGTACATTTTTACTCCACTTTTGCCTCTTATGCAGTTTGTAGTATATCATCATTATAACACTGCCTTACATTGCATAGGGTTTTACAGATGTGGATCACAATTACATGGATTTGATCCTCACACCAAATGTGGGAGATGGTGAGGGTGTTATCATCATTATACAGAGGAGGAAACTGCGCCTAAAGAAGATGGCGATGGCTTTTCCCCAAGGTGAGATGGTTTCTGAGAGATGGAACTCTAGCCAGAACTTTGGATTTCTGAGGCTTAGGTCTAGTGCAATTTCTACTATCATATGCGTCTAGAAAGAAAACCTTTCCAATTAATTAGAACTCAACACAGTATTGGTTTTGTTTTGACAAGAAAAATGATCAGTCCATGCTCTTTCCAACAAGTCTTTCAGTTCATTACCTTGGGCATGTGGCATGGCACACACCTTTAATAGTTATTCACTGAGGTGACAGAATGCCCTGGGTGAAATGTGCAAGAAAAAAACAATGAGATAGCACAGTTTTTAAAGGGATGGGAAAGGTTCCCCTAAAAAAAAAAAATAGGGCCAGTTTTGAGGGCAGAAAGAGCTTGAGGATGATTAGTTAGCATGTTTTTCCTATTACACATTTTTTGTTGTTTTTTTTTCAGCACCTTTTCCCTTCTTTCAGCAAATTGTCATCTTAAAGTAGATTAATCTGCAAATGACCGCTTCTTAGAGCATGTAAATGCACTAGCAAAATGGAGATAAATGTTTAATTTGTTTCCAGTTGCCTGTTTATTAATTGTAACACATGCTATTGCCCCAAAATGTTCACTTTCACTTATAATACAGTAGGTAGGAGTGTGACTGGTCTCTGGTATTTTGTTGCTCAGTTACCCCATTTTCTACCCATGTGGCCCTAAGCAAGCTGCTTAAACCCTCCAAGTCCCAGTTTTCTTGTCTGTAAAGGGGGAATGACACTACTGACAGAATAATGACGTTTTGAGAATGAAACGAGATAGTCTTTATGTAATGCCTGGAACAGAGTAAGTGGCCTATACATTTAGCTATTTTTATCACTCACCAATTCTTAATAGAGATTGGGATGGCAGGAAGGAAAAATAACAAAGAAAGAGTCTGCTCATTGCTTCTGTGTGTATGAGATCGAAAGAGTTAGTGAGACTAGAGGTGCTTCCCGGATCTGCGGGTTGGTGTTTATTGATTTCTTAGGCATACACTGAGAAAGTGCACTCTGCACATCCCGGGGTTGTGCAGTCAGTGGTAACGGCAGACCTCCTAGACTAGTGCACATTCCCCATCCATTCTGAGGCACAGAGGAGTGGGTTCCCCACTATGGGTTCCATAGCAACGTCTCTTCCCAGAGGGCACTGATATTATGGACGACGTCAGGCAGGCTGGTACAATGACTTAGATTTACGTAAAGGGAAAGAGCTGAAGACAGTGCTTCACTCAGGAACTTTTCCAGTAAAGTTCAGCATTCTAATACTATCTAATAAAGAGGGAATATGCAAATTGACCATCACACCTTCACAAAGATGGCGGTGCCCATAGCCACAAGATGGCGGCGCCCAGTTCCCTCAGCCCCGCTGGAGTCCCCAAGTCCTTTCAGCCCTGCCAGGGGGCGGGGGGTGGGGGATGGTGGCAGGCATGTGGTGCAGCCGGCCCGGCCCTCAGCCCCTCAGCCGTCCAGGGCCGGCTCAAGGCGCAGGCAAGCTGCGGATGTCAACTGTCCAACTGATGCCCAAGGCGCAGGCAAGCCTTGGACGTCGGCTGCCCAGCTGCCCAGGGCCACCCAAGGCTCAGGTAATCAGGGCTGGCCGAGGCTTCCACTGCCAGCAGTGGCAGCAGCAGAGGTGTGATGGGGGTGTCGCCTTCCCCTGATCACCAGGTTGCCTCCCACCCCTGAGGGCTCCTGGACTGTGAGAGGGGGCAGGCCGGGCTGAGGGCCCACCCCAGTGCATAAATTTTCATGCGCCGGGCCTCTAGTCATAAATGAAAAATGGAGCTACCCAGAGTGGGATTAGTAAAAACAGAGACAGAACCCTCCTAAAATGCCAGGCATTAATGATGAATTTAAATAGTTAAAAAAAAAATAAAGTTATATTTCGACATGACATTTGCAAATGAGCTCCCAGCATGGGTGATTGCTTAAATCTTTTTCTCTGAAGAGTAATTTCTCTAAGTCCAATAGCAGGCATTGATATTCTAGATCTTTGCTGCTTAGCTTGTGATGCAGTGACATATTTAGTATGTTTTAGTGCTGGAATGAGCACTAAACCCCTAGCCTTCTTGTCTTGTTTGCAGGGAACCACTGCCCATGCTCCTTAGCTGTCTGTGACCCATGGGTACTCGTACAAGGAAAAGTAAAAAATTTTCCTCTGGAAAGCACTAACATTTAAAGGATTTAGAAAATTTCTGATGAAGCTTCTGTAAAAGGGGTCCTATCCTTCCTGGCTTTCCTAAACAGAATTTGCAGAACACGCCGTGACTGTTTGCGAGGAGATTCAGAATTTTTAGACATGCAGATGCTGGTGTATATGACTGATGTGCTCTTAGGGTTTACTGATGGCACCAGCTGAAAGCCTTTGAGATAACTGGCACCACTTCACTAAAATTTGCTCTTGCCTTTCTGTCCCTTCCTTTGCTGCCATGCTGTCTTACTGCTTGTTTTGTTTTTGGTATGTCTGTCTTTCTTTAGTAGTCCTTCTCTCTTCTAACATGCTGTTTCTAATCTCCTATGGGCCAAGACAAAAGGTTGTTGAACATTTTAGAATGGTGCATAAAATATGGGAAAGTGGACACTGTATGAAAGTGTCTGAGGCTCTCCTGTATGCAAAATATTTGAGTGTTCAGAGTTTGTTATATATCTTTTGACCATGAAACTTTATTTTCTTTTGCTGTCTTTCTTTCTAGTTCTTGACTGTGCTTTGACTATCGGGTAGCTGGGGTTGTGAGAAGTGGTATGTTCTTGTATTGCTGTTGGTCAGTGAACTCATCTTCTCACCACCACTTTTGTTTGTCTCTATTAGAGAACTCATGTTTCTGTCTTGCATTAGTTAAGTGTGTGTTTGATGAAGACTAGGGGTTCAGTAAGTATTTGTAGAATGAGTGACTGCTTCTCCTATTCTATGCCATATTACATTGTAAATTTCATGAGGAGGGTGACTGCTTTATTCATCCCTGCATCCACTCAGCAACAAGTGTGCACTCAAGGCTTACTGAGTAACTGACTGAATAAAATTGTTAGACTACACAGTACTGTTGGTAATAAGTAACCTCCAAAGATCCAAAAGATATTTTTATTATAGAACTTAATTACTAGGTATAGAAAAAAGTTGGAGACAGGAATATTTGGGGCAACATCATAAACGAGCTTATAGAAAAAAGTGTTAAATGCCTATTATGTTTTGTTGAATGTTCTAGAAATGTGTTTCTCTTTTACTTGGGTCACAAGGGTGAGTGGTGGGGCTGGAGGTACAGGAGGAGAGATGGAACCTGGACTCAAGTAAAAGGGCATGTGAAGAGGAAGTGGATGTGCCAGGTGGAACCATCCTAGGTCAGGGTAGACACCTGGTCCTGGAAAAGTTGCTGCCGATGTGATTCCAGCTCATCCTTTCTTAACATCTGTAGCTGTCAGGGAATCAGAGAGTTCTCACAAGCCAGTTTTCACAAGCCATTCTTCTTCTGAGGTGTATGTAACTAATCACCCTTTTTGGGAATAACATCACTGTATTAGGTTCCTGTGGCTGTTGTAACAAATTACCCCAGACTTAGTGGATGAAGACAACATAAATTCATTATCTTACAGTCCTTTGGGTTAGAAGAACACAAGTCTCACTGGTCTAAGATCAAGGTGTTGATTCCTTTCTGGAGGGCTTCATTCCTTTCTGGAGGCTCCAGGGTAAAGCTATTTCCTTGCCTTTCCAGTTTCTAAAGACTTCCTTGACTGAATGTTCCCTGACTTTGGCCTTCATGACCACATAATGACTGATCAATCTGTTCTCACATTGTATCATTTAGCCACTAACTCTTCTGACTTCCTCGCCTACATTTAAAGGACTCTTGAGATTACACTGGTCTTGCCCAAGATAATGCCCTTATTTTAAGGTTAGCTGACTAGCAAACTTCCATTTATCGTGTCACATATCATAGGTTGTGAGGATTGGGACATGGACATATTTGGGGACTCATTGTTCTGGCTACCACAATCACCAAACAAAATATAAAGAGCTGAGGTTCAGGAGGATACAAATAATTATAGATTTGCATGGTGGCGAAAGCTAGGGAACAAGGAGATTTGAGCTTCTGAGGTTTGAACAGGGCTCAGGGGTAGTGTAGCATTCCTTTGGAAGTGAGAGGAGAGTAGCAGGCGTGCCAGATACTTGTTCTTTTTCTCTCAGACCCCATACAACTACCTGCCGGCCAGCCAACTTTCCTGAGGATTTGGGTGGTAAGAGTTCCAACTGAGATGCAGCAGGAGCCTCAGAGAAGAAGATGACCAGGCTTTGAACAGGAATTTGCAATGAAAAAATCATGAGCTTCTTATCCAACGATGATACCGGTTACTTTTTTAATATTATGGAGAAACTGAGAGTTTGAGAAATGTAATAATCAAAGAAAATTAGTGATGAATGGAGACACAGGACCTAAGAATCTTGTTTTCCAGCCTGACTATCCAGGTCTTTTTTTCCTTGGTCAGTGGGACAGAATGAGCCACTTATCCACAGGCCTGATTCACACAGAGAGAAGAATTCTGGTACAGATAATAGCTAATATAATGCCAGACCTCTCTCAGGAACTGCAGAGATTTCAGATCAATGTGTAGTCAAAGAGTACATGGTGATGACTTTCTGAAAACTTGATCAATAAGTACACATCACCAAGATCAGAATTTATTTAAAATTATGAACAGCCTGGAAGTCTGCCAATGCCTGAGTAATAACTCCAGGCAGTCCAAATCCATGCCAGCTTCCTCCGTTTATATAAATTGCTGAAATCTCTCATGCTTGACCCCTCTGATGTATCAGCTTTGTTATGTCAGTTTAGATATAGGTAGATTTCCTATGGGCATTTATTAGCTTTATTAAAAAAGAGGCAATTGTCCAAAGGCCTCTGGGCATATGCACCCAAAATATGAAATAAAAGAATGAAATTAAATATTCAGGCTGCCAAACACCTCATAAAAAAAATCCAGGCCAGTTCAAACTACTGAGGC